GCGATATTTCATTTTCCTATCGTTGCCTAACATTATACCGGTATTACCGTGAACGGTATAATATGGCCCAGCCCTATTTTACACTATGCCAAGTCACCCTCGAACCTTATGTGTGGCACCAGAACAGTTTGTGTTTTTCAGGTCTGTACTCATGAACTGCCGGTTTTGCATCATCATCATTATTATTATTATCATTATTATTATTATTATTGTTATTGTTGTTGTTGTTTCCAAAAATAAAAATAAAATCAATACAGAAAAGAAGGAAAAAGGGCGAAAGAATCATAACTTATGAAACCAAACCATATCAAGAAAAATAAGGGGGGATTTCAGATAGACTGGACACTATATGTATATTTTTATATTATGTATAATTCAGTTTCTCTATGCATGTATAAACATAACACGTGTGTCATCCTTTTACGTTTATAAAACTAGAATTTTTTTTAAGTGATTTTCCTCATTTTGTGCATCATTTTCTACAAATTGTACTTGTGGGTTTTTCTAATTATTTTTCTAATGAAAATTTTTTTTCTTCTTCACACTTTTGTTATTTTTCATTATGGTGTTATTTAAAAAAAAATCCTGATCTTGACTCTACTCTGCAGGTCTTAACTATGGTCTTAAGAATTCCAAAAAGTTGATTCTATTCATCTGGACGTAGCGTTTTCAGTTCATCGTTTCGTCACTCATCCAAGTGACTTCTTCAGTCTCAGCTGACTGCAGGTTTCCCCAATCTTATAAACAGTACATTTGCACAATAACTGAAACCAGCCCACCAAATGAACAATGGGCTATGAGGTCAGTCCCTTGATCATTAATATACAAATTGTCAAGACCACTGATCAAAGGCCATGAGTACCATTCACAGAGAGTTGGGGAACGGTTGCAATCACAGCATTGTGAGATGTGGTCTTAAGAACTTCTAGTCTTGATTGTGGACGCTGGATCTACTAGCCCTAAACTAAAACCACCATTACTGCCTCTACAAGTATGGCATGGCCTACTTAATGAACATAACCTTAAATTCTGTAGCTGCTTTTACATATAAGAATAGCCAAGTACATACACACCTAACAGAAAAAGTCCCAGCCTTTTGATCTATGACAGATGATTTGTGTTAAATTATTAACAATGACTAATGTAGAATATGAGATATTAATAGAACAAAATAGAAATAGTAGAATAAAAGACCACAGTCAGATTAAGTGTCAAAGAGCACATCACTTCATCATTAACAAGATTACAGCTTTGTCGCTAAGTATGAATTGACTGAAGTCCACTTACTGTAATTAGTGTTAGGACCCCCATAGGCCCCAAGAGTCCGTGCTACTTCCAATAAGCATTATTGTTGCTGCATACTGCCCTCTGGCTTGCTTAGGGACCCAGGTTTTTAAAGTCTGGTGCTGAGACTTGGCATATTGGTATGGTATGAGCTCTTTCTAATCTGCAATGGCTGGTAATACCCCACATTTATGTGCACGCCACAGACATAAACAAAACAAAATCCTAATGCTTTCATACTAATGCTCAGTTTCTCCTAATTTTGGACAACTTGACAAAGAAGTAAATAATTAAAGGTTCTTTGGCTGCTTGGATTCCACCATTTAAGCCATTATCCAGGTCATTATTGTAGCTCAGTATCTCTCTCTGTGCTGCTTGTTTTTCCAACGTGACCTCGTGTGGTTTGGCTGAGTTACATTTTGCTACCATTCAAGATAATGCTACTTTTTACAGCTTTATCAAGTCTGATTTAAGAACTGTTACTTTAACAGCTATTTCTAGGTTTAAAAACTCTGAATCTATAGCAGAATATGTTCATTCCAAAGACCAAAACCTGTTCCTGAATCTGCCTCATATACACTTGTTCAAAAGTCAGATTTTCTGCAAGCTATGCACCAAATGGGTTCTGCCAGTTATGACAGTCCACACTGCCAATGCTCACAAGCTCTGAGCTCTGTCCAGTGTAGGATAAATCCAGTAATAAAAATATTTGCTATAGTGTGTGTGGTCTACATTAGAGTACTTTGAATTTTCTTCTTCACTGTGTTTCTAGTTTTATTTTTTTTCAATCCTTTCAGAGAAACACACATACATGCTAATTTATTAGAACCTTTATCTTCTTTCATATTTTCTTTCATCAAATATATTAACTGTCACAGTAATGGATGCTCATAACAACACAATTTCAAATAATGAGTGTATGCACAAGTAACCCCTGTGAACCAAAAGCGCAGGCTTCAGTGCTCGTAAAAAGAGAGCAGCTAAAAATATTTATATTTTATTACAACAATGTTCAGTACAAGATTAAAAATAAAGATTATTTTGAACTGTGAGTCCAACTACAAAAAATGGATCTGGAAATTAGCTTTAAAAGCCCCTTTAAAAATATTTGCCATAAATTGACTATGTGCACGAGACAATGCTAACTTCCTGGTTTGAGACCGGATGTGGGGTTGTGCATTTCCGGTAGCTTTACGTTGCAGTCAGTCGCTACTGCCAAGATATACTCCAAAATCATGTCCAAAACTCGAAAACGGAAAGATTGCGTTAAGTTACAAAGAGCAGAAGGTGGGAACACTCACCACTGTTGTGTCATAAAAAAATCTAATGATCAATTTTGACATTTAAAGAGTTTAGATCAATCAGTTGTTTACATCACTCAACACAAGCAGAACTGCATTACTGCATGCAGAAGACACATCGTCCACATTCAGAAGTATCTCTGTATAATGACTGGTCTTATGATTTAAGCAGGCAAATGTTCAGCATTCAAACTACAGGTGAAGAATAGTCAAACCAGATGTTTCCCCGTTATGTTGATATCAGCTAGTCAAGTACACACCTACACAGCATGTTAACAAACCGTGAAAAAAGCCACACAAAAAATGAATGGTAAGGGTTTCTATACATTAGTATTTATGAAGGGTATGTTGTGACTTACCTTCAAAATTACAGCGGTCCCTCGCTATAACGCGGTTCACCTTTCACCTCGCTGTTTTTTAGTGCAAGTTTGCATGCTCCTGCGTCCTGATCACTGCAGACGATCTCCTCCGTGACGTCTCTCCTGTACAGTACAGAATCGCTGCATCAATCGCTAGCAGTGTGACTCTGAAGTGCAGTACTGTATGTCCACGATACGTTTTGCACCGTCAAAAAATAAAATTGGCTACTTGATTTCACCGATCGCTGGTTATTTTTAGAACATAACACCCGCAATAAACGAGGGACAGCTGAGAAATATAACATTTGAATCCCTTTTCTCTTTTGCTCTGAGGCGCAGGGGAAAAATATCGACAAGTCGATGAACATCATTTACAGATATATTGGGTAAATGCCCAAGACATCTATAGAAATGTAAATCGCCGCTTGATTCATTCATTTGCTTAACTTGTTTTGGACCGTAAACCAGGCGCGAATAGGACACCGGAAACAAAGCTCCCCACAGGAGTTTCCGCACCGGAAGTAGCATATGCTAACGTGCACATAGTCAATTCTGTGTTAACAGCATATGTTTCCCTCTACTGGTC